CCATTATGCACACTCCTGATGCAATTTACTGCTGCAGTCTCCAAGCAGTTCCTTGGTTAGTTTGGAGGCCTGCTGTGGTTGGGGGGAGCCCCCTTGTAGCTTAGATTGCAGTGTCTGCAGGGGAAATTCAGAGCTCCAGGGATCTTTCTCCTAGCCCTTTCCCTTAAACACTTCCCCCTGGTACCTTCTGATCTTGCCGAGTGGATAACATCATCTCTGTTACCTCCCCTTTGGGTATCTCTAGTTGCTCCTGTGGCAATTCTCCATGCTCCTTCTGAGCTGGTCCATCTGCAGGTGAACCTCTACCTACAACCATTGATCTTCTCCTTGAGAACAGCAAGTGCAATTTGCCATCTTGGCCTCTCCTATTGTGCTTTATTAAGTAAAAGAAAAAATACATGTAACTACCTAAAGCTTTTGATCAGCCGATACTATCCAGTATAATCATAAATTGATATAATTCTAGCTAAAATGAAATATATTTGATATTTGAGTTAGCTTTATCTTAAATGTTGAATTTTTGTTATGAATTTGGAAACATTAAGTATCTTCAAAATTCCCAGATATTTAAATAGCTTCCAAGTCATCCAATGACTACAATTTGGGAACTTAGCAAATATACTAGAGAGCAATCCACCAAATAATAGTAATTGACATTATTGGCAATATTTATTGGACAATTACTGTATGCCAGGTCTATCTACATTTTAAGTACTGCGTACGTTTAATACTCATTTAATATTGAGACACAGAGGGATTAAATTACTTATCCAGGGTCCCTCAACAAGGAAGTGGCAGGATTTGCACCAGGGGAGATTTGAGTGAATGGGATTGAGGGCTACTGTTCTCAAGCCATCAGTGAGCAATGAGAATGCTTTAATAAATGAGTTTTGGAAGATGTTAAGATCTCTTGAAGGTGCTTCATATTTATACCTGTTTAATCTTAAATTGTGAGATTATATAAAGGCACCAGAACTGGAATGCAGAGAAATGTTTGGGGTGCTAAGATGCAATAGAGCTGGGGATAAGGTAGTAAGTTTTACTCTCTAGATTAGTACCTGAATTTGTACATTTGAGACAGGGAGCCTACAGAGAATAGAAGTTAGACAAACAAATAATTTATCGGTCAGAAGAGTAAATTACAATCACCTAAAAACATGTTTGACTTGGGGGGGTTGGTAAGTGGGGTGTGGGAGTATATCACTATTTTTTTTTTTTTTGAGACAGAGCCTCAAGCTGTCCCCCTGGGTAG